GTAGTAGTAGCGGTAGTAGTAGTAGTCGTAGTAGTAGTCGTAGTCGTAGCAGCAGTATTGGTAGTAGTAGCAGTAGTAGTCGTAGTAGTAGTAGTAGTAGTAGTAGTAGTAGTAGTAGTATTAGTAGTTGTAGTTGTAGTTGTAGTAGTGGTAGTAGTAGTAGTACTAGTAGTAGTAGTAGTAGTAGTAGTAGTAGTAGTAGCAGGAGTAGCAGCAGGAGTAGTAGTAAGTGCTGTTAGCATTGTTACTATTTCTCCTATTAACGTTACTACCTTTTCTGAAGTCTCCATAAGTCCATGGAGAGCCCAGCCGAGAGCCAGGCCCGTGAGGCGCAAACGCTACAGGGCTCTACGGGAAGATACAAAGCCCCCTCAGGCCCAGGAACACCACAGACGGTTTAGGGTTTAGGGTTTAGGGCTTAGGGTTCCAAGACGCGGAGATGAAAAGCCTCGTGAACCCGAAGCCATGACTTCACATGCATGCATAGATGGATGGATGTGCGCATGCATGTGTGTACGGTTACTGTATGTGTGGATGGATCGACAGATGTGTAGCGGGTAGAGAGATGGACAGATACGTCGATAGAGGCATAGGTACATGTTTAGATCGATAGGTAGATAGAAAGGTAGAAAGATAGTTAGGTAGATAGGCGAAGCGGCAGATAGGCAGAGAAGTAGATTGGTAGATGGACAGACAAACACATAGATAGGTAGATAGACCGGTAGTTATGCGCATACATATATACATATATACACGTGCACAGGTACATATACACACATCGGCACCGACACCTACGCAAGTGTAGCAGCTTTGCACTTCACGGCCTTGCCTTATCTTACGCGCCATTCATTGCATTGAACTACGTTAATTACACTGCATAGGTGCGCACACTGTAGAAAACAACATTCATGTGTTGCAATATTCCAGCGCAGAGATACGCTGAATGTTGTAAGTCACTGCAAGTAATTAAGACATACCCCCAAGTCCAAGAGCCTTTTGAGTTTGAAGGTTCTTTCTGGAAAACTGCACTAAGAGATGTAGCAGCCGAGGAAGAAGAACGGGAAGAGCCACATCAGCCGGATCGGCCGCAACGTGGACAAGCCGGAAAACTTGAAGATCGGAAAGTTCCTAACGATGCACGCCGAGGTCTTCAAGATCGACAAGAGCACTGGTAGCGTTTCCTTGAGCTAGGTCTGGGGTTGGACTTGGACTTGGCAGGAGAGATGTTCATTGGACATCTGCTGCCATCCATGTACAATGTGCCTGGGGTACAGGTTTTTATATGTAGGGTGACGGGCTTATGGGTTGGGCTTGAAGCCGGGTGCCACCATTCGCGTCTAGAGTCAAGGCTTTAGGCTGTCGCCGCAAGCAGCTGTAGTCCAAAGTGACATGAGAAGCTGATGAGCGAGGTGATGCCCGCAACACGAGGCTGCTCCAAAAGGATCCTGTCGGGGTTTGGGGCCAGTTTAGGGTTCAGCGGTTTGGGTGTAGGTTTTAAGGCCTGGACAGGTTGTTGAGGCCGCTGTAGTTCCAGTTCCCTGCAGTGGGCTCCCAAACTGTCCTGACTTTCGCTTTTCTGCAGACACGGCCGGTTCGGCCTTGTCCGCGGTCCTGTGCGATGACAGCCGTTTTCATTGTCAATGAGTGATTGTATTCAACTAATACGAATACGAACTGTGAAGCTTCATTCCGTTCGATCTACACTGACTGAAAGTTGCATGCTACGTATGGCACCGCCAAGAGTGACAGGTTTGAACGGCTTTGGACGTCCTTCACCCTAAAGCCTTATGCCCTCAAGTTGAGTCACAGCCCATGGGATTTCATGTGAAGCTAGACGACAGGGCCACCTTCAAAGTACCAAGGCCCAACCCTAAACCCTAAATAGGCCCTAAACCCTAAACCCTAAACCCTAAACCCTAAACCCTAAACCCTAAACCCTCAACCCTCAACCCAACCCTACACCCTTGAATCTTGAACGCCCGATACCTAGACCTTGTCGCCCCGAGGCCGTGGAGCCTAAATACTTCAACCCTGGTAATACATAGGTGTCGCAACAATTATCAGTGTTATTCCCTGATTTTCCTACGAATATACCATAATACCCCGAAGCGTTTTTCAATGGTTGAGGCCTTTTACTAACCCCTTAGCACACCCATTTTCGGGCACTCCCTAAAACCCTAAACGCTAAACCCTCAGGGATATTGAGGCCCCTTACGGTAGCCCTTTAGTAGCCCTTGTAGACCGGTGAAAGGAACACTTAAAGAAAGCCTTTCCAAGTGAAGCAAACCCTGAAGAACGCTTAAAGGCACCCTTTAAGGGACCCGTAAAGGAGCCCTTGAAAGGAGTCCTTAAAGGGGCCCATTAAATTAAAGGAGCCCTTGAAAACTTAAAGGGGCCCCTTAAAAGGGAAGCTTAAATGAACCCTTTTCAGGTCCCCTAAGCCCTAAACCCTAAACCCTAAACCCTAAACCCTAGACCCTAGACCCTAAACCCCTAAACC